TATTTGTCTGCAAGCAAGAACTGGTGGGACCACAAAACAGACAAAGTAATAGAAAATGAGGAAACTAAAGTGCTTTGGGACTTTAGAATTCAAACAGACATGCACCTGCCACATAACATCCCAGACTTAACAATTGTTGGTAAGAAAGGCAAAAAAGTCTTGGGGCTGTTCTTTAGCCTTGTGTCAGACCCATAGTTAGATATTTTTCTAGTTGAAAAGCCTTTTTGTTCTGGGCCAGCCATTTAAGAATTTGATGTTAGCAAGAGTCTCTATATCAACTTGAGTACTAATATCCAGGACCCTCTGTTTGAATATGTCTTTGGCTTGGTGGCTGGCTGAGTTTAAATATGGAAGTGAAAATCCATGGAGCAAGATGGACTTGGTAAATTGATTTAGCTATGTGACAGGGAGGGACATGCCAGACTGTTCAACGAGACACTAGTTTCAAATGAGCAGTACAGTCTCAGAGGAATTAAAAAACAAGCTGATATCCTCAGAGACTTAACTGAATTTGAAATGGATGCTTACCTCAGGCAGCACACCACAGATAACCTCAAGGAGCAACTGGAACAAATCATGACCCCAAAACACACGAAAGGGCTGACAACCACCATGAAGACTACATCTGTAAGACAAGCTGAAAAAAGGAAAACAAAACTCCAAACCAAACTGCTCAAGCTAAACCCCAGAAGCAAAAAGGTACCTGAACCCAAATGGGTAGTCAACAAGTCCAGCCACCCACTATCCACTACAGAACACAGTATACTCCAGAAAGGCCTCAACTATAACATCGACAATGTTAATCAGTTAGAATTCTTTAAATGCCTTATAAGCAGCATTTAAAATCACAGGACTTGCCACAGAGACCCAAGAAAACATAAGGCAGACAATCATACCACAGGCCAGAAGAACATGTAATCAGAACTAACTCAAAGCAGAGGACAAAGCAGCCCTCAGAAACCTAAAGGAGGACCAAACCATCACCATCCTCCCAGCAGACAAAGGGTAAACCATGGTTATCATGGACCGAACACAATACATACAAAAAGCCAAATACAGTAGAACCTCGGTTTACGAACTTAATTCGTTCCGTGACTCTGGTTGCAACCCGAATTGGTCGCA